TGAACTGAAGGGTCTGTGAGAAAAAAATCCAGTCTTATTCAAAGATTGCCAGTGATAGAGAATCCACCCCAACCATGGGTAATTAATTACTCTCGTTGTTTAAAATATGCACCTTATTTTTAATTTAGCTACCCACAAACCATTGAATCTTGTATCTGTTTGTCTGGTAGCAGGAAGAGTCTGTTATCTAATTTGTCCACCAGATATATAAGAGTAACTTGATTACAGTCTAAACAGTCTGATAAAAATTTGGGCATAATTCTGAAGCCTCACACCATTCCTGTGAGGGAATTCTCTCATGCTTTGAGGTCTTCAAACAGAAGTTAAAGGGAGGTGCAAAATATTCTAACCCTTACATTCTTTCAGGGGAAAAATAGTTAGAGACAAAATTTTTATTTAAAGAAAACACAAGATCCACACACATCTTTATGCTTCTATTTGCACTTATACATTTTAAATCAAATGCAGTTATGAGTGCAAATATTGTGTATGAAAGTCTGTGTGCATATTTTAATGTAGTTCGAAGTCTCAACAATTTAGAATCATCTTTAGTATTTCTCCTCCTCTCACACATTTAGACATTATTTTTTCCATGGCATAGAACAGACTTATTTAGTTAGCTTCATGGTACATGTCTAAGAATTAACACTGAGAGCAAATAGATGGTGCCATTTGTCTGCTCTGGGAAAATGCATGGTTTGACTTCTGAATAGAATATGCACCAGGGAAATCATAGAGTGCTACATACAACTTGCAATATTTTGTCAACTACTTAGTTTATTCTAATTACTACTCAAATTACTTTTACACTAGCACCTAGGCTTTTATGTCTTACATTATGTATGAGAATCCAGATAGGCTTACAGCTTTAATTATTCCACACAAGAGACAAAATCAGTCATTAAGAATTCAATGTATCATTTACATAATACAAATCCCTTTCCTCCAATGAGTTTTTGGAGAACAATGACAATGCTCTGCTGTTCTGACTACTTGGCATCTTAAATAACACATTCACCAGTGTGCTATAAGTTGCAACAATTATGAAAATGAGTTTTATCACATGAACTTTTGACTGGGATCCATTTCAGTGTTATCCTGTTTCTCTCACTGCATCTAGAATATCATTGTTTGAAAGCTCAAGGTGCTTGGTAAAGGTCTTTCGCTTGCCCTAGGTATGCCTTGTAAACTTTTAACTATACTGCAAAGGACATCTTCATGATGGATATACAGTCTGCAGAGCTAAAAGAGTAAAAAATCAGTAAAAGAATTTTGTCTATAAATCAAGCACATACAGTAGTAATAAAAAACACATAAGCAGTAGATGTGCTGAGCAGTTTTACAAAGTCAACTGGCTGACTTTCACAACACTTCAATAAGTCTGTTTAAAATTTATGATTTGTAAAGGCAGTTACGCAATAATCACACCTGTTGTGCTAGGTATTGCATAGACAAGTGACAAAGAAAACAGACCCTGTCCCTAAAATCTTAAAATCTAGATGTCAAAACAGGATGCAACAAGTGGACAAGACAGATAAAAGAGATATGGATGAGCGGGAGAATGAAATAACAGAATGAGCAGTGTTGAATAAAGAGAAATCACATTTCCATTGTTTAGCAGTATTAGGGTAGGGCTCCAAAAGAGGATCAGCCCTCCTCCCGCTTACATGTAGTAGATCTTTACACTGTGCAAATACAGGGGAAGATGTGCAATTAAGAAGAAAGAAGAAAACAGTGTCAAAGGCAGCAGAAAGTTCAAGGAGAATGAAAGGAAAGAGGGGCCCAATACTTAGCCAGGAAAAAGTCATAGAAATAATGGTGAGCACAGTTTTGATGTCATGAAAATAATGCCAGCAGGGATCCAGGCAGGAATTAGCTGTAAGGAAATCAAGATAGCTCTGTTCTTAACAAATGCATAGAATTTAGAAGGAAAAAAGGAGATGCAACAGCAGTTAGAGGCAGGTGAGTGTTAGGACATAAACAAGAAAAGATGCCAGAAGAAAAGGATGCCAGAAGAAAAGGATGAGGCAAAATGACAGAGTGAAAGAGGGAGACAGATAGCAGCAGCTTAGCAGAGATGGTCTCAGGGGAATTGTCAAATATTCACATTTAGAGAAATAAATATCACATAGCAAGTTGGTCATATTACAGGTCATACATAAAATGTAGCCATTGGAATTTTATTATCTTTACTACAGAGATGTATCCCACAAGGATCACTGATTCTAGGATACAATGCTTATTGAGCCAACCCAAGACTATAAACTGTTTTAATCAAGAAAGAGCACAGCATACTTGTCCAGCACTCTTTCACAGGGCGCACTTCATTTTACAGATATGGGCAGTTGCAACTGTTCAGTTCAATACATGTTAGACTCAGCCCTTACCTTCTGGCAAGTTGCTAATATGACCCTTACCTGAGCAAAATTTGATTCCATCAGATCAGGGGTATCCATTCTGAGAAGACAACTTGTATCACTGCAATCTCTCAAATTATTGTTTGTTTTGACAGAATTAAATATACAAAAACATAAAATAAATCTCTCAGTAATAAAGTACCATTAAGGCAAACTAGCTAAAACATTCCTTCATACATCAAAATACACTCTAATATCTTCAATTAAATTGCTTTGCCAATAATCAGTAAGCTCATGAAAAACACCATAAGAAAAAAAATCCACATGAAGAATCTGTCCATCACTTTTGCTACCTTTTTCCACTCATTTCCTTTAGCACGATTTGCTTTGTGGTCTCTAATGCAATTAGAAATATACTCAATATTCTTTATCAGTACTTTATAACAGGAGCAGCAGTTAACAGCATCCTTGGTGTTTTCACATTGAATTCCATTACTGTTATTTAAATGCCTATCCAGCTTCTTCTTAAGATCACTGTCACTGTTTTTGGAAAGTTGACTGCTCACCGACTCAGGTCCATCCTGCTTTTTTTGATACTTACAGTCCTTTCTTAATTTATGGTTTTGTGCTTTTACTCTTTGTGGACTTATACAATTTTCACCCACATCATAAACAAAAAAGATCTTTGACATGTAGTCCAAAATAACCACCCTTGCCCATTGTGGAACAGGTTGGGCTTCTGCTCCGCAGTGATGGATATTCATTATAATGATGGTTAGTGCAGTGGATGCTGTGATCATTGTCATAGTTGCTATGTAATATTTGCCTGTAATGTAAAATAGGGAAATTTATATTTCTATTAAAAGTACTATTTGAGTTATAATCATCCACTGCAGAAAGGAAAAAAATCCCACAACATCAAGCTAAATGTTACTGAGTAGTTGTCAGAATTCTGGAGTTCACCCTAATCCTCTATAGTTCTGCTTGCATTGTGGTGTGCCACTTAAAATAGTTTAAGTCCATTCAAACAAACAAAATCTCCCACTGATCATGACCCAAATCATTTTCAAAATAACCATCTCCAATTATCAAGGTAAAATTCATACTCTCAAGTGTCCCAGTTTCAAAAAGCTATCAAAAAGATGTTAAAGTCTTTTTTAAAAAATGTTCACAGGGAATTTCACATATTTTTAGGCTCCCTAAAAAATCTGCATCAACATTTACACACTTCACATTTGTTACACCACTTCCCAGTACCTAAATTAATTTTGAAAAAAACCACATGACCTATTCTGCAAGTGATTACTTTACATTGTCATAAGTGTTGATTTTTACCATAGAAACAATGAAGATCACATTTTTCATCTTGGAGTTTCCAGATGTATGAGAGGCTGGAAATGTCTACAGGTTGGCAGAACTATTGGGGAGAAAATGGGAGCCTGAAAGCTGAGCTGTGCAGGAGAAGAGGCATATACACACTTCTCTACTTTTCCCCCCACAGATCAGCTATGACTCACTGAAGGAAGGGAACAGGAGTCCTGGTCCTACGCTGCAGAACAAGTTGTACTATAAGTGTACTCAGCTCCTTGCAGAGCCTAACAGGCCACCTAGGAACTTGTTGATAGATGAGTGCTTCACCCTGGGATAACAGGTTATGTTGCACATGGGAAGCAATGAACTTGCACCATAAGGAAAGTCTTCTACAGCTAACCTGCTCTGGTTTGCATTAAAAGGGCTATCCATCATGTGAGCCAGAGAAGACAGTGCTTCACCCGCCTTCTCCTTCTGTATAACAGGTCTGCTCTTCAGCTTCCCCAGCTGATCTCTTCTGTAAATTGTTCCCAAATCCTCACATAAAGTCTGCCTGTAGAATAAATCCCCCCGAGCCTGACCCTACCTTGGAGTTGGGGCAGTTTGTGGGACTTAAGTGAGGATCGGAATCTGGAAGGGAACTAAACCAGTTCTTTTTATGCCCCTGGGGACAAGAGAAAGTGTCATCGCACCCTCAATATGCTTCTCCAGTCTCCCGGCCATAGCAAAAGTTCAACAGCTCAGCTGTGCATGAACAGACATAGGGAGCCCCAATGTTTGTCTGGCTTCTCTCCCTGATGGAACTGCTGTGGTCTGCAGCACCATGTCTTGTGATACCAGGAGTCATCATCAAACCATAGTAGAGCTAAGAGATGAAGAAGGTACGGAGGACTTAGCGCTCACCCCTTCCCTATCACAGTGTCAGATCCTCACTTCCACAAACTCCCTTTTGCTTCTAACACATAACCCACAATGTTCTCATCCAGCTTCTCAAGATATCACATTTCCACCAAATGAATCACTACACCAAAACCTGGAACACCCTGTGTGACATCTCAGACAATTACTGAACCATTATAGTTTGAGAGTCTGCGAAGATTACATCTTGAAGTTTGACCTGCAGTTTTCTTTCATTAACACTGCAACCCAGGCACCTCTCTCTGGGTATGTCTACACTACCCTCCTAATTCGAATTAGGAGGGTAATGTAAGCATACCGCAATTGCAAATGAAGCCCAGGATTTGAATTTCCTGGGCTTCATTTGCATAAGCGGGGCGCCGCCATTTTTAAATCCCCGCTCGTTCGAACCCTGTGCAGCACGGCTACACGGGGCACGAACTAGGTAGTTTGAACTAGGCTTCCTAGTTTGAACTACCATTACTCCTCGTGGAATGAGGAGTAACAGTAGTTCGAACTAGGAAACCTAGTTCGAACTACTTAGTTCGTGCCGCGTGTAGCCGCGCTACACGGGGTTCGAACGAGCGGGGGTTTTAATATATGGAAGCTGTACAACTATAATGAGGTTCTATGACAAGATTTTGTGTTGCATGGGGATCAGCTGATAATAAAAGAGGGTATGTCTACACTACCCCGCTAGTTCGAACTAGCGGGGTAGTGTAGACATACCCTCTTTTATTATCAGCTGATCCCCATGCAACACAAAATCTTGTCATAGAACCTCATTATAGTTGTACAGCTTCCATATACATTTGATGAATTACACTAGGTTTTAGAAACTTTGCATCACAAAATTTATCTTTACATACCACTAACAGAATCTGGAGTCTCCTTGACATTAAAAAACTACTACTTATTAGCCTTGATAAAAATGTGAAATACCCACCTATTAAGGGCACATTTTCAGAAGGAGGCATGCTCTCTGCAACCATTAGCTGAAATACAGTTAGAGCAAGCAGAATTGTAACACCAAGTGACACTTTCTCTCCAGAGTCTGCAGGAAGGTAGAATCCAAGTGGCGCCAGAAAAGAGATCAAAACACAAGGGAGCAGCAGGTTAAATATATAGAAAGAAGACCTCCTTTTTAAGATCAGTGTGAACGTAATATCTGGATATGGCTCAGAGCAGCAACCATATGTGATTACATTCTTAACAGCTGGCATACCATGAATTTCCCACTCTACATCTTCTATAAAGTCAGATAGATCTCCACTGTCCAAAGCATTGAATAGGTCTACCTGATTACCATTGTAGGTCCAGGAACCAAAGGTAAGGTTACACTGCTGATGATCAAAGGGAAAATAAGAAACATCAACCACACATGAACTCTTTGTTATTGCTGGTGCATCCCAAGTAATTTTTCCATCATGTCTCAGTACTACATTTGTGTTCACTGGTTCTGAAAAGTCATCATCAGCCCTAAATGATAAATTGAAACACAAAATATGTCAGAAAAATCAGATTAACACGTCTGAATTCACATCACTTAATATTGTAATGAACTGGTGGCTGTTGTGTATGGACATCATAATGACTTTTTTAGGACAGACTCAGTTGTGTGTAATGTCCCAATATTGCTAACATATAACTGAAATTCTCCTTAGCTCAAGCAGTAAGAGCCTCTTCTTTTTTGAAGCAGTGAATATGAGTGCTATTCCTAATGCAATTATAAATTTCAGTGTGCAGCACTGATGACAAACTTCAAATCTTAGATGATTATGAATTTATTACAATATTTAGGCTGCCACAAAAATGTTAAGAAGATGATTTTACTGCTAATGAGAGTCACATCAGAGTTCATAGGTGTCTCAGACCTAGGTCTGGTCCTGCTACTACTCCAGAAAAGCTGCCTCAGAAGCATCCCACATAAGGAGCCCCTGAGCCCTTTACAACATGTGCACCACAGATTGTGTCTTTTGGGCTACGTCTACACTGCAGGCTTCTTGCGCAAGAACTGTTTTGTGCTGCGCAAAAGGTCTTGTGCAAGAGCACGTCCACACTGCCATGTGCTTTTGCTCAAGCGATGTGCTTTTGCGCAAGAGCGTCCATGGCGATGTGGATGCTCTCTTGCGCAAGAAAGCTCTGATGGCAATTTTAGCCCATAGGGGTTTCTTGCGCAAGAAACCCCTGTTGCCCATCCACACTGCCATCTTGCACAAGAGGGTTTATTCCTCGTGGGGAGAGGAATACCACTTATGCAAGAAGCCCTCTTTTCTGATGCTTTACTGTAAATTTACATGGGCAAAAACACACGTGCCGTATAGTTGCTCCCCAAGTTTTTGCGCAAGAACAGTTATTCTTGCGCAAAAAGCCTGGAGTGTAGACATAACCATGGAGTGTAAACATTTGGGGCTACATTCTATAAGTGGAGTGTCTGATTATATGATCATTGCCATGCTGAAAGCCTAAATACTGTATCACTGTGCTAGTAAAACTGATAGTTTTAGCTTTATTATCGATCCTAACAAATAAACTAGCTCAAATAATAGTAAGTAATTCGATGTTGGAAAAAAATTGAGAAAAAAGGTCCTTAATGTGAATTAATCTAATTTTCACTTTGTGGTGTCCCTTTCTAGTAGGTGATATTGCAAACCAAAGCTGATCAGTAATGTCCCTTTAATGTAAACTAGATCAAAACTGTTTTAAACAGATTTTGAAAGATTGTTTCCTCCTTATAAAACACTTCAACTTTTTTTTTCTAAAGAAGCAACAAAGTATCCTTTTTCCACATAATGAGTCAATCATCTGGAAACTCCCCAGTGCTTAATTTACAATTAAAGAAATGCTGGGACTCAAGCAATTTTTTTTAACTCTCATAACTGAAGCAGCAAACTCACAGGTGCCAGGACTACGAACTGCCAAGCCTAGAAGCAAATTAAGCACTCCCTGGGCACAGCACAACAGAATGGGCAAAAAGGCATCAACTATTTAATTTGGGTTTCTAATTCAGCTGTGACTGAAGCATAGATTTTGTGCATATGTAGCTCTGTTATGGACAAAGAAAGTTTTTGATGTGACCTCCAAACTGCCATGCCAAAATTTCAAGATAAATCACTTTCTCTATACAGCCTCTTAACTTTGTGCATAGACCAATTATGAATAGGGGCATGGAGACCTACTACTATAGCATCATATTAACACAGAAATTGCCATACCAGATCACAGCAATAGTCTGTCTAGTCCAGTATCTTTATGGGCCAGATCCAAACACTCCAAAGAAAGGTGCAATGAACTGGAAATGGATGGTTATGGGTTAACTTACCCACAGGGAAATTTCTTTATATATAAAGGAAAATTAAAGCTAATTATGTGATGGTGCTAAGAACTGCCCCTCTAATTGCACTTACTTATTATACAGCACAATGTCTGGTCTCCATACCAGGTTGCTAGGAATCCGGATAGAATCCAACCCATCATATTTATTCTTGTCCCACTTGAGATATGTATCATACCAACTTTGTCGAATCCATAAATACACAGTCAAAATTTGGTTTTTTTCATCCTGTAAGGAATTACTATATAAACATTTCTAATCCATGTCTCAAAGAAACCCCACTTAATTTCAGGGAGCGTTCATTTTATAAACATAATGTGTTTCTTCTAAGATTTACTATACTGTAAGAATTCTATAATACCTGTTCAGAGGCCTGTTCATATGACAATTCCAATTGATTTATCTGAAAACCATGCATGGTCAGACCTTAGTTTGGTACATACACATGTTAATGTTTACACTTATTTTAAATCAACTGTATTTTACAAACTATTGAGGATTTTTCTTCTCTCTCTGCAGATACCTTCTCAATTGCCTTCAAAATTTTCAAACCAAATCAGTTTTCCAAACAAGAATTATATGGGGGCTAAAAATAAAACTTTTTAATGGAAGACGGATACAACATAAACTGTGAAGAGCTACTACTTCTGCAAAACAGTATGTAAACTATTGAGGAAAAAAACACCCAGGTTGGTTGGGTTTTTTTTGTTTTTGTTTTTTTGCATCAGTGCAATGGGACAAAACCAATTATTCAAACCTGAAAAAAAAAATTAGTATCTAATTGCTATTACAAAAGAAGTCTAACAGGTTAACCATTTTTAGTTAGTTCACTATGAAAAACAGGTCATAGTGTTTTAAACTAATGAGTACACATTATGAATACTTTTGAGAAATTTGTATTACATTTATCACTTTATGGATGAAAATGCAAACTGTTTTTATGTCTCCAAGTGAACTAAGTTTTAAATTCTGAAACCAATACAGGTCTAAAAGTTTGCAAATTATCGGTTTAAGAGTTTGCACATCTCTAAAATATGGAACTGTCTTGTTACTCACCATATCTTTAATTTGGGACAGTGTGATCTGAAGGGTAACATTCAGTGCTTTATCTGTATCTTCCACTGGTCTCAGAGCATTTGAATAGCCTCCAAACAGTTCACTGAACAGCATTTGAGCATATTTTCCTTGTGCTGATTCCACTCCTGCATCAAATTGTATATTAAATATATCACATTAATTATTGTGCAATATCAGAAAGCTATTTGGAAAGCTCCAACCAAAATTTGTTATAATACATACTGCCATCCAGATGGTCATATACACATACTACTATATCATATTTCTGGCCCATGGGGAGGAGAAAGGATTGTGCAGGCCTCCTGCTGGCACACCCCCGGTTGTCCCAGGATCAAAGGGGGAGGGTTAGATTCCCAAGTGCCTTTTTAAAAATGAGTTAGGCATTGCAATGCTCAGTGCAGCAATGCCTAAATAAGTTTTAAATTCCAGACCATAGTGATTTTCTTAAACAGTCATTCAAATGCTGAGCTAAGACTAGAAACCAGGTCTGACTTCCAGCCCTTTTCTCTAGCTAGTGGCTTGTACTGTCTTCCTACATATAAATATTACTCTGAGAGATAACTGAATACTACCTATGTAATTTACTCCTCTCTTATTGCATTCGTGTTTGAATAAATAATTTGATGAATTTTGTCCATTATATGGCCAATGTATAGTGCTCATTGAGTAATCAGTGAATATATTAATTAGATCATTTCATCAATGATTTTTGCAATCTATTCCAAAGATTACAGCATATGTGAAAAAAAATTGTTATTCATCATGCTCTACAGATAATCCACAGAAATATTTTCTTTAAAATCATAGGTTTACAGATTTCTTTATGTTATGAAGTTTCTCTATGTTGTACTGCATTATCTTTATAGATGGAGTTATAGGTTTCAAAAAGGAAAGTACAAGGATGTTAACATTTGTCTGACCTAAGTAAATTCCTATCTAGGCAAGAATGCAGACTACTTGACCCTTCTGCCATTTAGCTGTTCAATTATTAGTACTGCAATACAGGACTAACTACATTTCAAATACCAGTTTCACTGGAAATAAGAGAAATCAAAGCTAATGAAACTATTTAAATAGCATCACATGCAAAAGTATGTTATCAGAAAACATTTCTACAGTGATTATTCTGCAAATAATAAAATAACTTGAAACAGTTAAGAGGATCAATTGCTGCCAAAACTGCATTTTTGTACCCTCAGAACCGTGAAGTCAGTGCATGCACAAGGAATAATCAATCAAGTGTATAAAGTGTGCCTCTGGATGCACACTGGTATAGGGAAGTGCTCTCACCTTGAAGCATTGTTGCTGTGAAAACCAACCAAAGGGACAAGCAGTAAAGTGGTATACTATTTCTCTTCATTGTGAACCCTGAAGTAACCACTTCTCCAGGAACACAAAAATTGTTTTCACCTTCCAAAGCTGGGACAAATTAGTTGTGCAACAGCTGCACAAAAGCAATGCGGTGCTGCTGGTAAGAGCTCTTCTCAGCAGCAGCAGGTCTCCTGTGTCCTCAGCAGGGCTCTAGCGCACACTACACTCTGCCCTGGTAACCTGAGAGCTGCCCACTCTGCTTCTCAGTGAGAAACCAGAATGATGGATATATCAAGAGGAAACACTTCACAAAAGGCTCATTCTTTCCATAGTGTTACTGGGTTTTTTTCTTACTATTAATGCATCAATCGAGATTCAGTATATGAAGACTATTCCATTTATACTTCCTCATTGAGAGCCAAATGTTGTCATCTTTATGTTAGCGGTAGCTCAGTCTATGTAGACCCATTAAAAGCACTGAAAATTCTGAGTAGTGACTTACTCTGCAACACGAGTAATGGTGGCAGAATCTGGCCCCATAAGTATAGAATTCTTCCAGAACAGCACAGTCCGAGTTGAACAGAGGCCTTAGTGACATGAAACTTTACAAAAAGAAGATAGCCTTTGGTGTTTGTTGCTTAGATGACTGCGAGGTAAGTCTCACACAGGCATGGGAACCTGAGATTTAAAATAGTACAACAGTTTGAGCAGGATTGTTTATTCTTACTCTTTCAGTAAGAATGACCTGCAACAGATGCCCATTGTTACTCATTTGTTTATATTTCGCATATGTTAGTTAAAGAAATTCACTGTTTTCTTTGTGATCAAACTATAGTTCAAGCACTAAGATTCAGTGATGGGCACTAGATATTCACTACTCTCACTAATTTACACTCACCAGTTCTTTCTGGTGAAAGCAAACTAATATGTCAAAACAAAAATACTTTCCTTGTTATGACAGAGGGTGCCCCTTAGTACATTGTGGAAATGAGTAAACTGTCAGACTTGTGGAAAGATTGAGTTCTGCCTATATAACATGCAAGGGTTTTATGCACTTCCAGTAAATGAAACATCACATCTCTAGTAATTAAGTGTGGTTTAGGGTAGAAGGAAGGGAGTACAATTTCTTTTATATAGAAGTCCGAACACACTTTAGGAATGAAAGAAGGATGCGGACACAACATTACGTTGTCTCTATTAAAAATGGTATATGGTGGAACTGCCAGTAAGACTGCTAGGTCGCTCACTCTGCAAGCAGAAGTGATTGCCAACAGAAAGACTACCTACAGGCTACGTCTACACTGGCCCCTCTTCCGGAAGGGGCATGTAAATTTCACTAGTTGTCGTAGGGAAATCCGCGGGGAATTTAAATATCCCCCGCGGCATTTAAATAAAAATGTCCGCCGCTTTTTTCCGGCTTTTAAAAAAGCCGGAAAAGAGCGTCTAGACTGGCCCCGATCCTCCGGAAAAAGTGCCCTTTTCCAGAGGGTCTTATTCCTACTTCAAAGTAAGAATAAGAGCCTCCGGAAAAGGGCACTTTTTCCGGAGGATCGGGGCCAGTCTAGACGCTCTTTTCCGGCTTTTTTAAAAGCCGGAAAAAAGCGGCGGACATTTTTATTTAAATGCCGCGGGGGATATTTAAATCCCCCGCGGATTTCCCTACGACGACTAGTGAAATTTACATGCCCCTTCCGGAAAAGGGGCCAGTGTAGACGTAGCCTCAGTGTCATCATCAATGGGGCTCAAAGAGGGCATTGTTAGAGTGTCCAGCACCATTTCCAAGTTCCACGATGGTGGTGGTAATCTGCATGGTGGGTATAAGTTGGAAAGACCTTTTATAAATCTTTTTGCACACCCCGTAACAAGGACTGAGAACCTTTCTATTGGTTGATGGAAAGCCGTAATGTCTGTCAGTAGGGAATAATTCCAGAAACACTGGGTGCAGGTGAAAACAAGCAGAGGATTTATTGAACATACAGTGCTGGTGGAGTGCCAACTAGGTATTAGCCCGGAGACCACTAACTTAACCAAAACATACATTAGATTATATAGGTAGCAGATGGACGGAGGGGAAGTGATTTGATAGGTCTAGTGGCGGAAATGAGATATGCACATAAGCCAATGAACTACAAAAGTTACACAGTATCTCCACCCATTGCCAATTAAACACGTTATCACTAATACAGGTAGTTATTCCTAACAAGCTAAATGAGCCGTCATAAACAGGATGGAAGCCCCAAAATGGACATGGTGATGTTAATTTGTTTTGCTGAAATTGTGATGTCTACTGTGAGATGACTCCTTCCTTGTGTTGGCACAGTCCTTGGGATCCAAGCTGATTCATCTGAAATTACAGGAGACAGTGAGAAAACCGTGCATCCTGGCTGGTACCGGCCAGGCCTTATCAGAGAGAGGCCCCTTTGGAATGCAGTTGCCAGGACGATCAGGGTCAAGTTAACTGCTGTCTGTGTGCTTCCCCAGGCCTGGCCTAATGATTTAGGATTTGAGTTGTTAGTTCTCAGCAAGATACCATGGACTGCCTCAGTTTACCCTACACTGACAAATGTACATTTAAGGATGTAAGGGCCAATCCAGCATCCTTGAGGAACAAGATGCAGCCTAACATTTTGTGTAAGGGTACTGTGCTTGAGTCCAAATTTTTGTTGGAAAACCAGAAAAGGAATCTGGAAGTAAGTGGAATGGGCAGATCGCTTTCTGCTGTGTAAAAGAACCTCTTTTACTTAGTGTGAATATTGTAGTTCCACCTGATAGAACCAACAATGAGTCATGCTGTCAGGCACAGAACATGTGGTTGTGGGTAGAGTAAGGTTCCGCTATTCTGAGTTAAGAGGTCATGATGAATCACAAGATGATAAGGAGACATCAGATACAGATACGGGAACCATATCTGTCATGCCCAAAACAGTGCTCTGAGAATAATTGTTGCCTCGTTTCTGGTAATCTTCTCTAGCACTTTGGGAATGAGCAGAGTAGGAGGGAATGCATATAAGAGGGGGCCTTTCCAATTGAGAAGAAAAGTGTCCCCTGGAGATCCCGGTTCAATGCTGGCTCTGGAACAGTAATGTCAACATTTCTTGTTTTCGTAGGATGCAAACAGGTCTATTTTCAGAAGACCCCATCACCAAAAGATGGATTGAAGAACCGGAGGATGTAGCTCCCATTCGTGGTCCGGGGCAAAATATCTGCTGAGGGTGTCTGCTCTTATGTTCTTGATGCCCAGTAAGCATGAAGCTAGCAGGATGATTTTGTTTCATATGCACCAGCTCCATAACTGAACTGCTTCGGTGCATAGAGAACGGGAATGGGCACCTCCTTGATGATTTATATAGTACATTGTTGTTATGTTATCAGTCAGTATTAGGATATTTTTGCCAGGAATGTGTGTAGCAAAATCCTTGCATGCATTGAAAACAGCTCTGAGTTCTAATAAATTGATATATAAAGTGGCCTTTCGAGTAGTCCATTATCCTTGTATCGACATGGTATCCATGTGGGCTCCACATCCAATGAGGGATGTGTCAGTAATTATGTGTACCGAGGGTTGGTCTTGGTGAAACGGTATGCTTGCTAGAAGGTTGTACAGATCAGTCCACCATGTGAGAGGTCTTAAGACATAGGGATGAGATACAAGTCTATGCTGGAGATGGGTATAAACCAGGGGTGGGCAATAATTTTTGCCCGGGGGTCACTTAAAAAATGTTTGAAGTAGCCCCAGGGGCCCCTGGAAGGGATGGGGCCTAAACAGGAAGGGGTGGGGCTATCCACCTCCAGACCATGATTGGTCTGGGGGTAGGGAAGCCCCTTTGCCCTTCTTCCCACTAGGCACTCATGCCCTGGAAGAGGCTTGGCATGCTCCCCCACCCCTAAGTCAATCAGGGCCTGGGGGCAGGAGAGTGCAGGAAGCCTCCTTCCACCCTGCGAGGAGCAGTAAGAAGATCTTGGATCACTTGAAACGTTTGCAGAGGTAGGTATGCCCTTGCTGATATAGAATCTAGTTGAGTACCTATGAACTCTAGCGTTTGTGTCAGTTATAGAGTTGCTTTTTTTGTGTATTTAGTATAAGGCCCAACAGCTCAAATGTTTGCCTGGTTGTTGCTATCATTTGGTGTATCTCTACTTCTGACAGGTCCTTTTACCAAGCAATCATCTAGGTACGGAAAGATAATCACGGCCCATGTGCAAAGGTAGGCCGCAACAACAGCCAGTGTCTTTGAAAACACTCTGGGGGTTTGTCTACACATTGAAGTTAATTTGAAATAACAGCCATTATTTCGAATTAATTTTAATAGCGTCTATACAGGCAAACTGCTATTTCGAAATAAATTCAAAATAGTGGGGGGCTTAATTCGAATTAGTTAAACCTCATTCTATGAGGAATAACGCCAAATTCGAAATAGCTAATTCGAAATAAGCACTGTGTAGACACTTATTTCGAAATAGGGGGCCTCCAGCCCTTTCCAGGGAGCCCTGGTGGCCACTCTGGGCCAAACCAGGAAAACTCCTCTCCTCTCCCCCAGCCCCAGACCCCTTAAAGGGGTAGACTCTGGCCACACTGCATGTGTCAGCTACAGGCCTGCAAGCACAGTCACTGACCCTGACCCAGTGGTCCCAATATGAGCCGGGCAGCCAGATCCAGCCAGCCCTCCACCGCCCAGTCCCCCAGCTCCCAGGAGCCGTCCTATACTAGTGCAGAGATCATGGACCTCATTGAGGTTTGGGGGGAGGCCTCCAATGTCCATGATCTCCACACTAGATGGAGGAACGCGGCCATCTACAGCCGCATAGCTGCCACCATGGCCACAAAAGGCCACATGCGCACTCAAGAATAGGTGCACATGAAAATTAAATAATTGAGGCAGAGATATGCCAGGGCCACATGGGGCAGCTCCCCAACAGGGGCACCCACCTGCCCCTATGTCTAGGCCCTGGACCGCATCCTGGGGGACAGAACGGTCCGTGCCAGCTGGGAGCAGAGGGCCCTGACCAGGGCGAGGAGGAGGAGCTGCCACGGAGGGTGCCACACCAGCCGGACCCCCGAGCTGTCCCAGCAGTAGAGTCACCAGGGTCGTCTGGGGAGGTCACACCATGTAAGTGCCATCACTGTCCCCTTCCTCAGTGGTGGGGAGGAGACCAGGGATCGCAAGCGTGGGCCTTGCTAACCATGGATCATGCAGCAACCTGTGCACATGCGAGCACTTGCTCCAGCTGCGTGCCACACAGGGGCCAT